GAAGGAAGTTGGAGGTAGATGCATCCCGTTTGATTCATGCGCAAACTGGAGGCATACCTTGAAAAGATACAGGTGACTGGAACAACAAGACTGGATGTCTTGAAAGAGATGTACGCATCTGGGCAAACGCAAATGAAGAAGTGGCTGAACTTTGAACAATTCCAAGCTGATTTTCTGAACAACTATTGGTCAAGGGAAGATTCAATTTATGAACCCAGAGTGTATAATAAAAATCAGGGGTCATACACACACCACATCTGGTTTTGGATCGATAAGACACAGAATCTGAAGCCATTACAGACGCTTTGTGGAGAACTGTTCCGAAACGGTAATTGCATTCTCGTCATTACTGAAAAAGAACAACAAATGGGAGTGAGAAACAGAACAAACAAATCAAAGAAGATCTCATGCATGCAACGCGTTTAGCAGATCTCGGCTTTTCACGACAAATTTTTGTGGTAACTGACGACGCATCAATAGCGGCCTTGGGGGTTCACTCGTTCCAGGTGACACAAGAAGACGAAATTCAGACAATCGCGTTTGCTAGTCGAGCTCTAGTAGGCGCATATAACAGTTAGATTTGCGTCTCTCAGTCGACGATGAACTTCCTTTAGTATAGTCATGTGCTCGTGGAACGTTTGGATACAACAGTGATATAATCGAGATACACAAATAAATTTTCTCCCACTAAATTTCCAAAAATGTTGTCCGTTGCTGCGTAGCTGGAACGTTTGCAACACCGAACGGCATGAGGGTGTATTCAAAGAGACCTCTTTTAGGAACAATGAATGCTGTTTTTTCGCAAGATTTTGGATGTAATGGGATTTGATAGAAAGCCTGCCTAAGATCAATCGGAGATAAATAATGTGCGTCACGTAACTTATCAAGAATAGTGCTAGGGTAAGGAAGAGGATATGCGTTTTTTTTTTGTTATGGCATTTAGCTTCCTACCGTTGAAATACAATCGGTAGCTATCATCCTTTTTTTTACTAAAACCGTAGGTGAGTTTCACGGCGACGAAGACTTCCTAACAATACCCGCCTCTAGCATACGATCTAAGGCGTCATTAGCATGTGCTTGCATTGCTGGGAGTAAGGGAAGGTACCTTTGTTTAATAGGATCGGCAGTTCCTGTTTCGATCTTATACATCACCCTGTTTGTTCGACTTAACAGTTCACCTGAAATTCCCTTAAATGAAACAACATTAGACAGCGCAATCCACTCATGAGGATTAAGATCGCCCGTTCCTTTGAAAATCGATATATTATACACATGCATGTTAGCTAACACCAGGGATCTGAACTTTATACTGGTGCAACACTTTACGTAGGTAATAAAACTTGAAATTAAGTTTGTCCACACCAAGCTCCAAACCAAAATAAAGGTAAAGTGATCGATAGTAAATTAAACTGGATACATTTAAAACTAAGCATCTTCTTTAAAAATCGCGCTAGATTTATATCTCGCGCAAGGTAAGATTGATGTGGATTTCGGGATCGGTATTCATGCATTCATAAAAGAAAAAGCAACTAATCATTCGACTGAAGTAGTTCACGTCTCCTCATAACTCCGCCAAGTAATAAATAACACTCTGGATTCCTCAGTTTGCATAATGAGGCAAACCGAACAGTGTGACTTACTAACATCTTTGAATAGGGTAAAACGCAGTACCTACCCTTCTTATATCTGGGCAAATGCTACACGATGCTCGGAGCGAAAGCGACCCTTATTAAAATTCATAAGGCTCATATTGAATTTAAAAATTGTAAAAATCTTTCGGATTTAAATAATTTATAAGGTTACAAGGTATGGTGATCACGTCCCTAAGTAGTTTAATCGGGTAATGGATGTACCAACACCAAGCACAAAAACAACAGTCTACATGATACATAATTCTAGAACGTGATGGATAAGTTTTTCTTAAATTAACTCGAGGATTTCAGATTATGTTTTCAGTTTGCTACGCTGGTTATTGTATAGGGGAAAGTGTCATAGCGGTCGGGATCTGCGTGGAAACGACGCATTATTGATGTACCACCTGTTGGCACAGCTCGGTCGTGTGCATTATCACTCTATGCAAACGTTTTCTCCATTATTTTTTGCCGTAATTTATCTTCCTTTGCAATACTAAGTTGGTACTCTACTAAAACTCTAATAAGGTAGTATCCGTGCAGGTGGATAAGATGTAATAACACGCTTCGGGCACCGTCTTCCAAATTCAGCTAACGTAACAACTCTAATAAGAATGTTCAAAGATGCGGAAGCTAAATTCTATTTACCCTACCTTTTACATTTGTGCTAATTTACCACTTCGAGTTCGTAATTGAAACCAACTCCAATAATATCGCATAAGGCACTCAGGTATACATAGATCTGTCGAAATACAGAACGCTGGGTGGTAGGAAATGTATTAGCAGTACATGGATCAAGGGAACCCCAGTTTATAAACCATGCGGCCATAACTCCGGCTTGTACAATTTTCTATACGTGCATGGAATATTTGCGATTCTTTATGAAAATATTTTATTTTTCATGTAACATCGGGGCGTTTTATTTAATAAAAATGTGGCACGTTTTTAATGTGCCGGTCAGATGCGTGTGTAAGAAAATAGCCATCGAAAATGCGTATGAAATTGTTGCCTTTTTGTATCAAAGGCGCGAGTTTAAATTAAATTCTTATTTCTGATGAAATGTTCCGCTGTGGTAACAATGTTAGTATGAGTGACATTCCAATTTTCTAAGCATCTTCATATAGGCGCTACAAAGCCTTGTTGCTGCCTATGCCCACAGTTGGTTAATAACAAAGATAATATCACCGAACATGATTCAAGCTCAGCTGACTCAGCTTGGGTTAGGACCTTCCATAGCTACATGTGTAGGGTAGGATCGTCATGACTTAAAAAAGAATAAGCTAACTATCTATTCATGATTTTTTTTTTGTTAAGTACGACTTCGACTGCTAAGGTCTTTTCGTCTACTTCTAATCAATTGTAAGGTCTTATTACTGCCGCATTATATTTTGTTGTACATATTAATCAATTTTAGGTAGTCAAGAGTACTTCTAATCCGGTCATCGCTTTTAAGATTATCAGGTAAGTTTCTCATTAATTTCTTTTCAGCTTTTTGGTGGTTATGTGCTGCACAGTCGCAAATTATGTGCGTTACGGTCAGTCTCTCGTTGCAGTATTCACACAAGGGTGCATCGAGGCCCTTCAGCAGATGCTCGTGTGTAACCTTTACATGACCAATCCTCCGCCTGTGTGTTTTGACCATATCTGCTCTGGACATATGTTTAATGTAAAACATTCCCCTTACTTGCCGTTTTACTGTGGTAAGATTTGTATTCGCCGCTTGCCATTTATGTTGCCATGTGTCTAATATCTTTTCTTTTAGGTATGTAAATGCGTCCGTTTTTTCCATCACGTCAACGTCTACTTGTGGATGTTCAGAAGCTTCTCGTGCTGTTCTGTCTGCAAGCTCGTTGCCTGGTATACCTGCGTGTCCTGGCACCCAAATAAATATGATGGAAACATTTTTGTTATTTAGGTTTAATAGTTGTGATTGGGCCAGTTTAGTTAAAGCATTACTGGAGTAAATTTGTGTTAAGTCTATTAATGCATTTATATTATCGCTTGCAATAATAAATCTTTGAGTTTCTGACAACGAGGAACAGTGCTGAAGAGCTTTCCAGATGGCATATCTTTTTGCGAATCCTATAGTCGACTGCGGGTTTAAGGTCCATTTATTTGTTATCTGCGAGGCGATCGCACATCCTACTCCATTTCCAGATTTAGACGCATCGGTAAATATGATGTCGTATTCTCCATACTCACTACATATATTTGTAAATTTCTGTTGAAATGTATCAAGTGGGGTTTCTTTACGTTCGAGTAATAAGAGATCACTTCTAATTACTGGTTCTGATAGCTTCCATGGACTATGTTCTTGTATTTGTTCCTCTAATAAGGGAGGTAGAATTATGTTGTTACGCTCTATATATTCAGAGAAACGGACGACAGCTCGCCTAGTTATTGTTGGTCGCAACCTAAACATAGTTTGATCTGTTTCTAAAATGGAATTATTCGGATGTGCTGGTAGTGCTTTTATATTTGTGAAATACTTGATCAGTATACAATTTCTTCTTGTTTCTAGCGATGGCATACCCGATTCGCACTGTAAGCTATCTATTGGGCTGGTAGGAAAAGCGCCAAGTGATATCCTTATCGCAGAATGATGTATTTTATCAAGTTTGGATATAAGTGATTTTCTCGCAGACGAGTATACTATGCAGCCATAGTCAATTCTGCTCAGAACTAATGTCTGGTATATCTTAAACAAACTTTTCGGCTCTGCTCCCCAATTAGTATTTGCTAAGACCTTCAGGATAGTTAGATCATTGATGCATTTATTTTTTAGGTTTTCGATGAGTACCGACCATGAGAGCCGCGTATCAAACATTACGCTCAGAAACTTTACATAACCGCTACATCGTATAGGGTTCCCTTTAACGTAGAAAATTGGGTCGTAATGTGGTCTTCTTAGCCTACAAAAGTGAATACATTGCGTTTTTTCCTCAGAGAAAGAGTAACCTATATCAATTCCGTTACGTACGATTTGATCTATGGCTGTTTGCATTTTTCGTTTTATCTCACCCATATTTGTACCGGAGCAAAAGATGGCAACATCATCTACATATAGACAAGTTCTTACAGCATTTGGAATGTTACGTGCAATGTCGTTAATGGCTAATGCAAATAAACTACAGCTTATGGTAGAACCCTGCGGAACACCATTTTCGAGAATTCTTATGCATGACAGTTTATCCCCAATTCTTACGCGGAACGTTCTATTGATTAGGAAGGATTGGATAAATAATGGTAAAGTTCCAGTTATTCCTTCTTCATGTAGCTTTTTTACGATAACGTGTCTCCATGTCATATCGTAAGCTCCTTTAATATCGAACAGCACTGCTACCAGGTGTTGTCGTCTCATTAAAGCTTCCTGTATTGCATTTTCCATTACTGCCAGATGGTCGGTTGTGGATCTATTCTTTTTAAAACCTGCTTGGTACGGAGCCAATATTCCCTTCTTTTCCAGCGTCCACTGTAGTCTACTATTCACTATTCTTTCCATAAACTTACCAAGGCAGTTTGTTAAATTTATCGGGCGGTAGCTTGTTGGTTTCAATTTATCCTTTCCCGGTTTTAGTATTGGGATCACTCGCATTTATGTTCTGCCCATATTTTATTAAATAGGTCGAGCACGGCCCTTTCCATTTCAGTAGTAAGATTTCTTAGCATCTCATTGGTTATTCCGTCTGGGTCGGGACTAGATTTTGTTGTCTTTTTCAGTGCGGCATGAAATTCTGTCATGATGAACACAGCATTATAGTCTTGTTTAGTTTCTGATTGAAACGGAACATTTTTTTCCCTTTCTGCTTTTGATTCGAGGAATTCAGGGTCGTAGTTTTCAGAACTGCTCATTTTTGCGAAATGGTTGGACATGATGTTCGCAATATCTTCGGGTTTGTCCGTTAGATCATTTCCATTATACGTTTGAATGCAATGTATCGATTGGTCTTTGATATCGCTATCTGATGTTATTGTCGACGTATATTCGTTCCAGCTTGTACGTTTACTGTTACTTTTCTGCTTATTGCACGGGCTTTTTTTAACTGCAATATGGTTTTCTATTGTGGGTTGTGCTTGATACTTCCTAAAGGCTGACTTTTTCTTTATTATTGCATCTTTGACTTATTCATTCCACCAAGGCAGTGGTCTTTATATTGTTTTAGTGCCGGATTTTGGAATGCTAATGTTGGCGGCTTTTATTTAGCATTACTTATTGAACTAACATTGATATCATCAGGGACTACTAGATTTTGCGTAAAATTAACCCAGTTTCCTTTGTGTTGTAACCATCTACTATAGTGAGTTTTTTATTTACAGGCAAGTCCGTTTCAATGACAATAGGGCAATGGTCGCTGTTGTGCAGTTCGTCAGCAACGCTCCACTCCAGGTGTGGTGCTAACCCTGGGGATACGAAAGACAAATCCAGACATCAAAGGACATAGATCGAGAGTTATGGTATGTGGCTGCTCCTGTGTTCAATAGTACTATTTGTTTCTTCAAGTTCTTCAATTTGCCAGTTGGTATCACGTAAGTATATGTTACATATTGACAGTTTCATTGGATGGTCGATTTTAATAGCTACCGCTTGAAGAGTCGTATTCAATACCACCTGCTCAAAGTGCGTACAAATGTACAATCCTGAATCGCTACAGCGACACCACCAGCTGCTCTCTCTCTGTTATCACAATCTTTTCTGATAATCTTATAGCCCGCTAAAGCGTAAGTTTGGTTGTGTTTTAAATGCGTCTCTTGGATGCAAAAACAGAAAGAGTTGTACTTTTGTTGCAAGAGTTTCATATCGTAATGCCTATTCTTTAAACCTCGACAGTTCCATTGTATGATATATTTTGTGCGCCATTGTATAATCTATTTTTATGTTTGGTTACTTAAGTTAATGTCTGATATATTTATAGGTATTTACAAACTAGAACAATTACAACATGCATGTATAAATAGACATGATTGTAATTCAGTTTAATGTACATATTATTTGTAAGAATCAAGATAGAGTAGTAAAAAAGAAAAACTTGGCAACATTGTCAAGCGTATATGTAATTAAAAAAGGAATATTTAAAGCGCTTTATTTTTTAACCAGTTGTAGTTTTATTAAAACAGGTAGTTTGGTGGACACGAGGGTGGACACGACAGTATTCTTTAAAACTGCAACTTAATTCCACCTATTTCTTTTCCCCTTTCATTTTATACAATCTTTGTGATAAACGTAAAAACTAAGTAATCCTCAGGTTAATGTTAGGACAATGTAAAATCAACCAGAAAAGAGTTGGCAAAATAACATTTTATAGCTTATAATAAAACTCCTCGAAGGAATTGGTTTTAATCTATATTAGGTAGGTACATTGCAAGTAGAAGCTAAAATTAATCACTAAAGAGATTAGCAGGCACGAAGAATCCATAAGCGGAGGTTAAGCAACATGTGTACCTACAATTATCTAATCGATCACTGTAAGGATATGTAAAAATCTCCATTAGGGGCTTATAAATAATATAGAAATTACTAATAGAAATACATGATGCATTTCATTGACACGGCAATACAGAAGTATGCAAACTAACCTCGTCCTTTGTTAAACACGTCACTTTGGAGATCGGTCCATAAACGTGAACTGTGAAGGAAGGTTTTAAGTATACCCACTTTTATCTTCGTATCCGACGAATTCCTCGAAAGCAATTGCTCGAAATCAATTGCTCGAATATATCTTTTGTAGAAATACAAGTTCCTCGAGCGGCAATTTCTCGAAAACGTATTTCTCGAATTAATGTAGTCTTAAACAACGTAATTACGGAAATTCATATACTTGATGGACATTATAGCTCAGATCACATACAATTATTTAATAGGTACACCTGTTTTTCCCTTCGCCACATTTCTCATTCCTATACTATGAATAAAGATGGATATTTTCTACAGTAATGTTTTCTTGGAAAGAGCATGTGACTATAATTGAAATTGGTAATTATGGATTATTTGTACACAAGTTAATGAGCTTGCTGTTATTACAAATGACCTTAATCTGTATTAAGGCTTTCTTGGAAAAGGAATATGATTATCTTTGGAACGTAATTAGGGATTATTCGTACTCAAGTTAGTGGTGTAATTAGGGCGGGGCGAACGGGCCCCGGATACCGCGCCGGAAGGGCGCAAAAATTGTTATGATGAAAAATAATTGGGCGTGGAATCAAAATAATTGATTAGTTTGTGTTTAATCGGAACAAAAATATCATTTGGATTAATCAAACAATTAATACACATCAATCAATTATTTCAGTTATATGAATTAGTCATTGCCATCTCGACTCTGCACGAAATTGATGCAATTTGGGTGGCTTTTTGGCCGACGACGGCGACGCGGAAGTAAACGTAATTTGTAAACAGAATTTAATATACAGGTTGTTCCATTTAAATTAAAAAAGCTAAATATATTTCCGGTGAAACCGGACGTAAAGTAGTAACAACAATATGTAATCAGATGCGTTAGGCGCTATTGTACTTGACTGCAAAGTTTCATAAATATCGTCCTTTTTGTTTTAATAGTAAGCCATATGGTCGGTGCATACAGCCATTAGAGGCAAGTGCTTTAAAGGTCAATTATACACGTGTTTCTTATAATATTTTTTATTATACCGCAATATAATTTAAAAATAAGGGCAATACAATGAAATCATAATGACGTTATACTCGAATACATGTTCAATTTCGGTTGAAGTAAAATCTAAAGAAAAGTTTATGTATTTACTTGGTTCTATAGTTTATAGTTTATATACCCACCCCGTATAAATCCACAAGATTGGTCTAATTCGCCTTAAACTTCTGTACGGTTACATATAATCCATCTGTTGGCAGAATATATCTACCTATCAAAGAAAAATATATCAAGGAGAACTGCTAAAAAACCATCGGGGCATGAATTTAAGAAGGGGAGAATTAGGAAACTGGAAGAAAATGGAAAATGACATAAATAAAGATTTAGATCGATTTAAGGCAATAAAGTGATGGATACCAAAATTAATTTTCGATAGTTGCACATTTTAGAACTCATAAGCTTTCATATACTGAAAATTCGAAGTCGATACGAGGTCTTCTTATCAAGAAAATCGATATATGTTAACGACTGTGACACTTTTTGTCCAAAAACATTTTTGTCGCAAAAAATTCCTTGGTAATTGAGCAATCGAATTCGACCTTTTTCCCCGTTGTTTCCCAAGAAAATTGGTCTCTAATTAACGATTTCGCCCCATTTAGAGCAACAACGCTATAAATAAGAAAGTAAATTTTTGATAGTTGCACACCTGGAACCCATAAGGTTTCACATGGCGAAAACCCGAATCCGATATGAGTTCTAGAGACTGAGCTATAGCACGGAACGACAGACAGACGGGCGGAAATGTGACCATGCGCTCTATTTTCGTGCGGGTTGTTCTAAAAACGAATTTCCTCAGCGGGTAGTATCTGCGCGAGATACAGAAAATTATTAACATTTTGCACGCCCACTCTGTGGATTTATTTGTCCGCTCTTAGTAACAAATCTGGCTACGGTCCTGTACAGAACTAATCAAAGGACGCATCGGCACGAATTAAGTTCTAACCTCATTTTGTTCCATTTGATCCTAGATGTATAAATTTGTTGGGATTGATTTGTATTACAGTTGGAATTACTGTTGCGTATAGAGACATTGTGTAACGGAAGCTTGTTAAATTTTTCAAGTTTTGTGGATTACAAAATTATATTCGGGAAGAAGTGCGTATCGATGATTCAGATTTTTGGGAAGTTGTAGTTTTCATTAAAATTAACAAACATCTTTTTTCTGATGTAATTAAGTTTCAAATATCGTATAATATAAGATGAGTTATTGGTTTTGAACTTCCTATTTTGGGCGAGTTAACGATTAGTACGTGATTTAAAAAAGGTCACCGGTTAAAAGACGCAATAGATTCAAAGAACAATATGTAATAAAACAGCGAGACAAAAAAATTATGAGTTTGTTTATTTCCGGAAACTCGATGGGAGCGTTAATTACGGGCGTTGGTTTACTCGCGATATTAAAACCAAAATGAACAGAAATTTGGGGGGCTTTTTGCGTAGATATTCACGCTAAGCGTGGATACCGTCGCGGAAAACGCGGCCACCACTTATAAAGTTTTTTCGTAGATATTCGCACGGGCGAGTGTCGTCGCGGAAAATGCGGCTAAGGGTAAAAAGGTCCAAACCAAATAAAATTTGTTGCGCGTATTAATTTAAAATCGTATTGTTTAACCAGGAATAGTGAATTGTTCGGAAAGTATTAATCATTGAGTAACTGCAGTTTAGTTTAACGTGCGATTGAAAGACTTCCGTTCAGAAATTATATAAAGTACGAAAAGCGCGCTAGGAAATTGTTGTTCAATTGGGATTACGCGATTGGATTTAATAGGCGAAGATTGAGAATAATCTAAATCATCCTCCACTACAATACCCACCATCTAAAAAGGGGAAGAATACTACT